TTAGGGGGGCGGAGGCATCATACTTATAAGTTTAATTAGATTTTAAATATTGAATATTACGTAGAGAACTTCAAAAAGATACTTCAGGATGATAATTGGAAAGTTTCTAAGTGTATTGGGAGATCCTTTTGGAAGGCTAGAATTCGATTTTTGAATAAGATGAAGAGAAGATATATTAGGAAAATATAAGGGCTCGAGTTAGTAGAATTGGATCACATTTTTACTATGAAAAATGGATAGAGAAGGAAGGAATCTTTAAACAAAAAAAAAGAAATTTAACAAAAAAAATTTAACATTATAGAGTAATCTAAAACAAATCAAACTAGCTGAAAGAATAGAAGAATAGTATAAATAGAAATTTAACATTATAGAGTACTCTAAAACAAACCAAACTAGCTGAAAGAATAGAAGAATAGTATAAATATAAAATTTGTCATATAATACTACAAATATTAACAATGAATTTAGAAGTTGTCATGTTAATTCATATACAGAAAATCTCTGATAATAGGTAGACATCTACGTTGTTACAAAAATATCGGGATAAATAATGAGATCTGGAAAGTTGACTTCTTCTAGAGAGGGAGTTATAAAGTTCATCATGATTTATGTCTATAAGCTCTTTGGCTACCATGTTTGTACAGTACTAAAAATAATTTCATACTTACGAAGAGCTATCCAAGCCAGAGAGTAAATCGCCAGGTTCTTTACTTTCATCCTTCAAGCCTATATGAATGAAATTTAGAGAAAATTAGTCTATGATGGATGTCTACAAGATATATGCATTCATAGTCAAAAGGTTGCAAGCATAACTTATCAAGAATATATAAGCCTTACCATCAGATGAAGAATCGGGAATATACTTTGCTAGACGATATTTCTACATGCAACAGAAATAACATTAGGAAAAAGCAACAAAATAATAGCATGAAAAGGAAAAATGATTTCATAAAATCTTATTACCTGTAAGTGGCTCTTCACATGATATATAGTTAACCCTGGTACACCCATGACTCTAAGAACACCTTTAGGAGTGGCTCCTGCTCCAATAGATCTTATGATTCGATTAATCATCAAAACTTCATACAAATTCATTTTAGAGAAATTTCAATCATCATTATCTCAATATCTCATGCTTAACTTCAGGTGAAATCATGCTTTGGTATAATATAGAATACTTTATTTTGAATTAGGACCTGGAAAGCCTAAAGAAATTCAGGAACAACCTCAACAAGCAAAATAAACAACCTTTAACTCCCAGCATCTTTCTTACAAGATATTATCTTAAGTAGAAATATGAGAACATTACTACAAAACTTACTCAAAACAAGTGTAAAATAAAATGCATCATGAGAAAAAGTATCTGGAACTCTATCTTTAATATTAAAATGCAATCAATATGAGGATATAATACCATTGATCCACTCAACATTTCAAAAAACACTATTTGTGCTTCTCAATTTTCCATCTTAAAAAAGTGCATCCCTAAGGCTCCCAATTCCTCTAATTTACAAAATCATTAAACGATGCTTTAAATAGAGAATTCATTTGACAGGTTCTTCACTTTGAATAGGCTTCTCTTGAAGAGGGAAAGGCCTATAGCTCAAAGGTTAAGTTGCCTTCACTGTCAACTGGAGTCATGAACTAAAGTCAAAAAGTAGGCTCTAAACAATGCAAAGTAAAAGGCCGCATAAACAAATTCCTTATCAGACCCTACGATGATGCAAGTTACTCCATTTAATGTGCTTCTCTTGACAAGAAGGAAAATATTGATTGTTACGGCTACTTGTAAATTACTCACTAAAAATTTCATTCAAGGCTTTCGGGTAAAAGAAATTACAATAAACATTTAAGGGATTTTGTTTTATTTTATTTTTGGAACCGCTCAAAAGTGTTGGGAGTTGAAACCTTGGCCTCCATACTTATGAGATTGGGGAAAGGCAA